ATCACAAATATCTATATATTACTTTTTTATTATTATAAGATTGTCAAAATCAACCATTCATATTATACAGTTTATACTGAAATGAAAATACAGTTAAATTATGAGGCCAAACTACACAAAATTTAGTACTTACCTAATTACTGTCTTATTATTTTTAAAAGAAAAATAAAATTTAATTTATTTCCGATTTTCATGGATATTTATGAGGATGTAAAACAAGCCATATTTTTCTTTTCTTCTAACACTAATCCCATGCACCATATTTTCCACTTCCTATTATTTTTCACATAAATTTTCCTGCCATTCTCCTAAAAGGTACTCTCTTCTCTGTTCTTCCCCAAATTATTGTTTTTAATGGATCTTTTGCTGTTTAATATTTGATCATCTTGTTTGCAAATTCATGCAAATCTTGGTTTTATCTCTTCAACTTCACCCTTTTTTTTTTTAATTAGATTGAAATCACGATAATCATTTTCAAAAACTCACATTTATAAAAAAAATATTGATTGCATATATTTTTCTTGCAAATTCATGCAACTTTTGCTGTTTAATATATTTTGATCAAATTGTTTGCAAATTCATGCAAATTTTTGGTCTTCTGCTTCAAATTCACCTTTTCTTTTTTCAACATTTTCAGAAAAATAATTGATTATACATTTTTTTTTGCAAATTTTGCTGTTGAATATTCAATCAATTTGTTTGTCAAAATTTTGGTCATCTGCTTCAAATTGACCTTACATTTTATCAATTAGATTGAAACCACCCTTGCATATGGACTAATGATAATCATTTTCCACAACACACATTTTCTGAAAAATAATTGGTTATAATTATTTTTTTCACAAAATTTGCAGTTTAATTAATATTCATCAATTTGTTTGCATATTCCTGCACATTCGCGTTCCCCCATTTTTTTTTTCTTCTACTAGATTGAAATCCCATGTATAAATAAGCAATAATCATTTTATACGACACACATCTTCTAAAAAAAATAATTGATTATATTTTAGTTCTTCCCTATTTTTTTTTCACTTGATAATAAATCTTGATCAGGGGCTCTGCTTTAGCCAGGGAGAAACGGCGGGCAACGCAACCGAAAAAAAAAAGAAATAAAAATAGAAAAAAAATCGCCCGTTTGAAAACAAATGTCGTCGCCGGAAGAGTCCCCGCCGTCCAACTCGACCTCCACGCCGCCGCCCCCTCCGTCGTCCTCCGACTCTCCGCCGCCGCCGTCCTCCGACACGCCCTCGCCGCCGTCCCCTCCCTCCGACTCCGGCGGCGGCGGCTCCTCCTCGTCCCCCTCCCCGGATTCCAGCCCGTCCCCGCCCCCTCCGGCTTCCGACGGCGGAGGCAGATCCTCAGCGTCGCCTCCTCCGCCGCCAAGGGACGAATCTTCGCCGTCTCATCCGCCGCCGCCGCCGCCGCCGGCGAGGTCCTCGGGTGGAAGCGAGAGGGGCAACACGCCGCAAATCTTGAACGGCTCGAACAACAACGATAACAGCAATAATAATAATAGAAATGATAATTCGGATCAGACGGCGGTTATAGCTGGAGCGGCAGCGGGGGCCGGGCTGCTGATCCTTATCGTGATCGTGTTCATGGTGATGTGTTGCAGAAGGAAGAAGCGCAAACCTCATGGGGAGATGAAGTACTACATGGACAATCCACGTGCTAATATGAGTATGTTTTTTTATTATTATTATTATTATTTTCTGGTTTTTGGGTTAAGGTGCAATTTTAATTTGATTTTAATTGCATAAATGATCAATATTTTCTTGACTAGAAAAGGTAAAAAAATATTCAAAATAATGATTGGAGAATTAGAGTTGTTAAACGAATTGAGCTGTTTATGGACACTCAACTTGACTTGTTATAGGATCGAAAAATATAGGAGGGGATTGGATTTAAAATATTGATGTTTTAATTGGATTTATTGAAAAAGTGAGTGAGGAAAAAGAATAATTGAGTGAAGTTTGAGTGAGATATTGAGTTAGTATTAAAATAATATTTAAAATATAAAGATTATTAAAGTTGATGTGATATAAATATAGAAAAGAAATTATTGTAAATGATAGATAGTTAAAATTATGTTACTGGTTAAATAGTGAATTAATGTTGATGCCACGTGTGACAATGAATGATTGATATTATTTAACTATATAAATAATAGTGAGAGTTTGAGTTGAATTAAAATTGAATTGGAATTTGAATTAATAGGTTTGTAGAAAAGATTTTCCGTCAGATAAGCCAAATATTCCTACATCCAATCACACTTATAGCTTTTACGTAATTTCCTGAACTATTATATGTCAGCTCAACACTTTAAAGCTCCAGTTCAACTCCATTAGTTTTGATAAAAGAGTTGAACTCGAGCTTATTTTCCAGCTCAATTAATTAACGAGCCCGAACTCGATTATTAGGAGCTCGAGTTGAACTTAGTTTAATGATAGTTACAAATATTTGATGCATTCATAAGTAATCAAATTTTATAAATACATGTGTAGTAATGATTGATTTTTAACAGGCAACAATTACTACACCTCCTCAAACTGGCAAAATGACGGCCGACCCAACTGGCAGAACAACGGCCCGCCCACGGACCGCATGGGCAAGCCCCCGCCGCCTCCCCCGGGCAGCGCCGGCGTCAGCTCCGAGCACAGCTGGCAGATCGCGCCTCCGCCCCCTCCGCCGCCCATGATGAGCAGTAGCGAGCTGAGCTCTGCAGGCTTTTCCGGCCCCAATGGGGCGGCCCTCCCACCGCCTCACCCGGCCATGGCCCTTGGTTTCAACCAGAGCAGCTTCACTTACGACGACCTGTCGGCTGCCACCGCCGGTTTCGCCCAGTCGAACCTTCTCGGGCAGGGAGGATTTGGGTATGTCCACAAGGGGGTGTTGCCTAACGGGAAGGAGATTGCCGTCAAGAGCCTCAAGGCCAACAGCGGCCAAGGGGAGCGCGAGTTCCAGGCAGAGGTTGATATCATCAGTCGCGTCCACCACCGGCATTTGGTGTCATTGGTCGGGTACTGTATAGCAGGGACCCAGAGGATGTTGGTTTACGAATATGTGCCGAATAAGACGCTGGAGTATCACCTTCACGGTACGTAATCATCTCACGTTCGACATTCTTGGTTTAATTTAGAGTCAGTCCTCTGGGTTTATAGTCAAATAGCAGATGCAAAGATGCAATACGACCACTTTTTTATGGAAATATGAATAATGAACTCTGTCTTATGAAATGATATATTTACCCTTACTCCAAGATTTTTCAGGAAGAAATAATGTATAAAAAAATATTTTTAAAATAAATTTATTTATTTTGATAGACTAATTAATTGAAAACAATAATAATAATGGTGTTTTTTGAACTTTATGGAATTTCATTTAAAATTTGAGGAAAAAAAAAGGAATGGATGGGGCAGAAAGTAATGTGTAAAGTTGTGATTTATGAGAGAATTATGAAAAAAAAATTTAAGATGGTAAGATTGCTACTTAGCCAAATTAAAACGATAATGCTCATCAAGATAAAAAAATTAATAAAATTAAATACATAGTTGCCAAGTTTAAAAATAAGTTATTTATGTCTAATTTCAAATCTAATTCCAAAGTGAAAATATATATGCAAACTAAATTATACGAAGCATAGATTTTTGTCATGTCAACACATGAAACATACGAGTCTGCCACTTAAGTTCAACATATTTTGAATTAATATATAGATGGGAAAGGTGGAATTTTTTACAACCACAACCCATTTGTTGAATTTCAAAAATCGTTTGTAGAATTCCAGAAATCTATTTTAAAATTCGAGACATTGTTTGTGTTCCAAATCATTCATGAATTCCGAAAATTGATTATAAAATTCAAAATATTGTTTAAAAAGGTTTGAGAAAGCAATTGAAATCATTTATGAAAATACTAGAAAAAAGTGTGAATGTGGTATTTTGGTCATTTCTCATGCCAAAATGGCAGTTATCACCTTTTGCCACAAAATGAGTATAAATGAAATAGATTACTGATATTAGTATATTAACACTTCATTTTGTGTTGTGGAGATAGTATAAGAAATTGAAGTAATGTGGTTTGTTCATCTGTCGTCTCTCAGTTTACACAGGTCGAAAAGTCCGATTACAAGCGTTAATTCAAAATCCCGATTATCGGCATTGTAGTTATTTGCAAGCAATTTCACATGTTGGCAATTTGTCCTTGTAAATATTTAGATGTCTGTATGAATTAAGTATAATGGGAAGCCATAAACTTCATTGTGTGTATCTTTAACGTACAGGATCTGGTTGCCCGACAATGGATTGGCCTACCCGGCTTAAAATCGCGTTGGGATCTGCTAAGGGGTTTGCATATCTTCACGAAGATTGTTAGTTTCATCGTTGAATTTTCGTTTCTTCTTGTGTCGATATAATTGTTCTACTTACTATCATTGTCCGTTCGATTTAGGTCATCCTCGGATTATCCACCGTGATATAAAAGCTGCAAACATTTTGCTTGATCTAAACTTCGAAGCCAAGGTACTAAGTCCTCTGTTTTTATACGTTTATGCAAAGATTCTTGCGTGTAACGAATGACTAGTACTTTCATAGCGAACATAACTTCGTTTCAATTGTCTCCTTTTTTTTTTTTTTTTTAATCGTATTACGATCTATAAATTGCAATGCTAAATGCAGGTTGCCGACTTTGGATTGGCTAAACTTTCTTCGGACAACTTCACTCACGTTTCAACTCGGATAATGGGAACTTTCGGGTAGGATAACATATTTCAACTTCATCATTACACTAGCAAAATACCTAGGAAAATTTATCTCCTTTCCTTAATCTCCTCAACGTTAGATTCGCGTAATGAACGAATATAGTTAATTAGGGTTATTGTTATTGAATTAAATGAATGTGTACGTGTTTTTTTGTTTATCTTCGCATGTGATTGTATAGGTACTTGGCTCCCGAATATGCATCGAGTGGAAAACTTACCGAGAAGTCCGATGTGTACTCATACGGCATCATGCTTCTCGAGCTCATTACCGGACGACGCCCGGTCGACATCAATAGCGATGATGATGGTTTAGTTGATTGGGTATGTATATCATATATACATATATGCCATATTCTTTGTAATCTATTTAAAAAAAAAAAACACACACACACACACACACAACATGATTTCTTTGTATATACAATGCAGGCTAGGCCAATTTTGGTTCGGGCAACCGAAGGAGGAAGTTTTGATGAGTTGGTGGACCCACGACTCGGGAACAACTATGATCACCAAGAGATGTTGCGTGCCGTGCTTTCTGCCGCCGCCTGTATTAGGCATTCTGCAAGGAGACGCCCTAAAATGAGCCAAGTATGTATCTATCAATATATGCTCTTCCCCTACTTGGATACACACACCCACACACACACATTGTGTCGAATGTCCTAATTAAAAATATATTTAATCGTGTTTTGTGTTGTGTGCGTAAGTCATTGTCTTGTTCATTTGTCTTGAATATGCTTGATTTATCTGACATCTGCTCGAGCTCGATGAGACGAGCCAAGTATTTCTTAGGATCGGCTCGACTCGACAAAGTAACCCAAGCGATTGACTCGAAATTTTAATTAAATAACATCTAATTATGGGTGTTTAAGTAATTTTAGTTATATTCATATGGCTCGTTGAGCATTCGAGAGCGTACAAACTGCAGGCTCGAGCTGGAGTTTGAATTCGAAGTGCTCGAGCTCGAAAGCTGCTCGATTTGTTTGCAGCCCTAATCTCGAGCCTTTAAATATTTTTTTTTAATTTTTATTTTTGTTTTTTGTTGTGTGCATAAATCGTTCTTGTTCATTTGTCTTGAATAGACTCGATCTATTTTATTTCTGCTCGAGCTCTACAAATCGAGTAATTTAANGAGACTAGCTTGAAATTTCAATTAAATGGTATTTGATTAGGGGTATTTAAGTAATTTCACCTATATTCAAACGACTCGTCGAGAGTTGGAGCACTTCGAGAGCTGCTCGAGTAGTCTTGAATATTTTTACCACCAGTTCGTTTATTTTGGTAATTTCATCGAACTAACATGTCGCGACATTTTTCGATTTTGTTCAGGTCGTGCGTGCCCTCGAGGGAGATGTCTCTCTAGAGGACCTCAACGGGGGGCTAAAAACCGCGCACATCGCCATGTTTGGATCGAGTGGTGACTCTGAGATCGACTTGAAGAAGCTCGGCGTTAGGGGACTCAACAGCCAAGAGTTCAACAGCAGTGAGGACGGGCACACGGGAGAATTCCTCCGCACAAGCGGTGAAAATTCTCGAGAGTTTGGGTCGAGCCTGCAGGGCGGACGAGTGCGCAGCCCACAAATGTGAAAAAACGTGCACTACGAAAAAACAAACAAAAGCAAAAATACAAAAAAAAAAATATGAAATTGAATTGTGTTGTTACAACCTTTGGGAAAAAAAACATATGGATTCTTTTCATCTTCGATTTGTAATTAGTGTTTCGTCTATTGTGTTGCAATTTAGCACGTGTTTTACGTGTGAACAAAAATGATGCTATTGAATTTCATGCACGTGCCATTTGCGGAGGGGAGAAACACAAAGGAATATGAAATTGGTGGTGGTATGAAGGCACGCGTATATAATATATTATAAATTTATTTTAGTATTTTTCTTTTCTTTTTGTTTGTATAGTTTTTGAGGTTTTCAATTTTTACATACAATGTTTGTTATACAGTCATGACATTCATTTGATTCACATGCTAAATGTGCGGGCTGTGGAGCTTTTTTCATTTGTTACGTGCCTGCTGTAATTACTGAGCTTAACGAGCCAATATAGAGTTTAATTAAATTAAAAACCTTAAAAATTATGTAAACAAAATCTGTTTATCCGTTTCGTTCAATAGTTCTGTGTGAATAAAGAGCACACAACTTGTGATTTAGATTTCTCTATGTGTGAATAAAGTGCACACGATGTTAACATAACAATGTTAATTAATACTCTCCGTTTTTACTTCTTGATTAATTACCTTTGGTCAAGTGAATGTAGTTATAATCCCAAATTATAGGTCTAAACTGCAAATTTTTGATAAGTTTTTTATATATCGTTAAACTGGTCAACTCGTCATACATTTATAATAATATTTGTATTACTTTTGTTTATTTTATTTTATAGAGTATGACATTTTAATTTGAAAATTTTAATATATAATTAAAAATATAAACTTGACCGATTGGACTTATCTAAGAAGTAGTATTTTTATTGTTTCGACAAACATACTTTTGTTAACTATATAAAAAAAATAAAGATATTTGATATTATATATATTTTAATTATTTTATATGCGTGACAAATCCCAAAACAACATACTTGATCGTTCGACCATTTCAAGAATAAAAAATGGAACCCAAAAGTCCACATTCTAATCCACCATCCTAAATCCTAATAATCCAGACTTATGTGCACCTTTGGAACTAATATCATGATACATGCCAAGAACTGTTAAATTAATTTTCTCACTTGATCAGAAGCACTTTCATATTGCAATTTCAATTATTTCATACAAATTTATTTTACAATTTCAATATATACATCATATCAATTTATTATGTGGTTCTCCTAAGTAATTCGAATAATATAATATAAGTGCAATAAATTATTTCATACAAATTTATTTTACAATTTCAATATATACATCATATCAATTTATTATGTGGTTCTCCTAAGTAATTCGAATAATATAATATAAGTGCAATTTTATTTATATATATATTTTTTTGAATACTTCAGTTGTACTTTAGGCTGTGCAGTGGGTACATAAAATTGCTTTCGGAGATCTGCAAGTATATTGTGAATCAAACACAGAATTTCTAATCTATATATCGGGGCTTTCAGCTAACAGATCTCTGCAAAAAATGGCGCAGCCGTTCGTGAAGAAAGACGATGATCGCGACGAGGAAGGTTAGTTTCTGGAATTTGATTGAAGAGTGTAGTATTAGAAAGAGAGGGTTTATGGCCGAACTTTTTGATTTGATGCAATTATAGTTCATGATGCCAATGGTCAGCTTAATTTGAGTGTAGGTTTTCTCAGGGCTTGGATTGCGTATGTTTGTTGATTTGATATTGTTTGGAGTTTGCTGTTGTATTCATATGTGTCTTGTTTCAATTCACAGCTGGTTGAATCATGGTTTAGGATCGCTATTGGTGTTAGCCGGTTCAGTTTAGTGTTAGTTCTTCCATTGTTTTTCTTGAGGTTCATGAAATTGTGTGTGCCTCTGTTCTGGTTAGAGCCAATTATCTTAGCTTGAATATGGACTTGTTTAGATGTTAGCGGATTGGTGTAAAATTAGCGGATAGTGCCTTATTTAGAGATTTGACCCTTCAATCCGCTAACTAGTTTTTTTGGGTAAAGAGCTTAATTGATTAGCTTTTTTAATCCAAAATGCTAATTATGAAAAAGCTCAAAATAGGAGCGTTTTGATTAGCAGCTTCCCTTTCTTCACAAGCCATAAAAGAAACTTATCCTAGCAGGACAAGCTAAAGAGAGATTCGTAGAATAACTTATTAACATAAGATTTCCAAAATTGCTATAGAATCGCTATTTATTGAATAGTTTTTACAAACAACTAGTACAATACGCTAGTCAAATCAACTATTATTTTCCGCTATCAAGTATTCGCTGTCCGCTACAAACTACTAGCTAAACATGGCCTATGTTTTTTTTTTTTTCATTTCACAATTTTGATGGACTTTGGAAAGTGAACTGGAAACAGATTCAGAATATACGACTTGATCAGGGTTTATGTCATGATGAACAAGTCTTCTTAAAGTTGGGATGTCACTTTGTTCAAAAGAAGTGTTCAAATATTGTATTATAAAGCGGGTCTAATAGGTGAAGCTGTCACCTTGGGCTTTCGGTGGCTCCAGAAGTGTCGGTGGATTGTGTTTAGGAATTTGGCTTACTTGTATAAAACCTAGGCAACTTTCTCCCTACATTTTTCATCACATATTAGAAAATCGGAATTCCAACCCTTGAATCATCGGTATTATGTACTTGGAAACTCAGATATGCTTATTTCAATGCTTACTTCAGTTTACAGAAATTGCACTGTTTATTCTTAATATTCTGAAGTTGAAGTATTAAACCTACAGCGGATTACTCTCCATTTTTGGGGATTGAGAAGGGAGCGGTACTACAGGAAGCTCGGGTTTTTAATGACCCCCAGTTGGATGCAAGGAGATGCTCTCAGGTACTCCTACTGCCACTATGTCAAATCAAATGCAGTCATTTTTTAAGCTCTTTTTTTGGTTGTCTTAATTAAATAAATGACAGATCGGATTTCTCCATCACAGGTCATCACGAAGCTTCTGTATCTTCTGAATCAGGGAGAAACATTTACCAAGGTCGGATTCTGATCTTATAGCTAGTGTATTGCCATCATGTATATGTGCACACGCATGCGTGTGTGTTTTGTTTTCAGTCAGTCAAATGGATGCACAAGTTTAACTAATCTTAGAATGAGGTGTGTTAATGCATGTTTAGCTTACAGACAAGCATGTACTCGAACAAAACGACCACCTACTGGGCCTGATAATGGAACAGTGGAGATTAAATGTCATATTTTGCATGCTGTCCAGCCTTTGGGATTAAGTAGCAGTCTGGTAACTTTGTAGAGCTTCATCCATGTGTTGCATGTCATGGATAGCTGTCTGGCAGTTTCTAATTCCTACTGACGGTGCATTGGGTTCTTGTTGTTGGTTGGATGTATATTATTGCTCACAATTTTCCACTACTTAATTTCTGACATCAGAGAAGTAATTGGCTACAATATGTAAATTAAAGGCGACTGAACTGTGAATTAAAAAACACACAATGACACACCTTAATATGATCCTAGGAGTGTGTGAGATTGTTCTTGCCAGATTCTTTCTTAAGGCATTTCCTAGCAAGCATCCAACAAATCTGGATTTTCTATTTGATAGTTGTTTGGCAAAAGCTTCTACATTTGGAATAATTTTTTACGGTCTAATTTCTAGATTGAAGCTACAGAAGTGTTTTTTGCGGTTACAAAGCTGTTTCAGTCCAAGGACATTGGTTTGAGAAGGATGGTCTATCTAATGATAAAGGAGCTTTCTCCTTCTTCAGACGAGGTGAATTGCGCATACACCATCTCATCTTGTATTATGACTTTACTGTCAATGGCTATTTGATTTCCAAGGAGGTTGGGAATGAGCTCTTTTGTATTTGGCTTGAAAGGTTATCATTGTTACAAGCTCCCTAATGAAGGACATGAATAGCCGAACTGATATGTACCGAGCAAACGCAATTCGTGTGCTTTGTCGGATTACGGATGGAACACTTCTAACTCAAATTGAGAGATACCTAAAGCAGGCCATTGTGGACAAAAATCCTGTGGTTTCCAGTGCTGCACTTGTGAGTGGGATCCATCTGCTACAGGTACTATTTTTATTTCTGAAGAATTACACATTTTGTAGTTAGTTGAAGTGCTAATATTTGTGTAGTTATTTTAACAGACAAATCCGGAGATAGTCAAAAGATGGAGTAATGAAGTACAAGAAGCTGTCCAATCTCGGGCTGCACTTGTTCAGTTCCATGCGCTTGCTCTGCTCCACCAGGTAAGAGGTTTTGTACTTTTGTTATAGACCAAAAACGCAGAACTGAGTTCGCAAAATGCAGTGTAGGTCTGTGCTGAACTCATGTAGAGGATGTCATTTTCACGACCAAGCGTCATGACATAAAATCGTGATACTGAACCATTTGTATAGAGCATAGGGAAGTACTTCATGATATATTTGATTATTTTATAATATTTAAGGGTTTCTTTCCTCTTTGTTCTCAATTGGTTGTTGGAGGCAGAAAATATTCCATTGAATGCAGTGTATAGGTTGCAATTGATATATATTTTATATATTTGGCTTCCCTTTCATTTTTTTCGTTTTTTTTTTTCCCTGTCTGGATTATTTCATGTAAGGCTGTAACCTATTGAGTTGGATTTTCTTGTACTATGTTTGAGCTTACAGATAAGACAGAACGATCGGTTGGCTGTCAGCAAGTTGGTTACCAGCTTGACCAAGGGGACTGTCCGTTCTCCTTTGGCTCAATGTCTTCTGGTTCGCTATACTAGTCAGGTATGGTGTGATCGGTTTGGGGGAATGTGGATGGTGGTAGGGTTCTTTCAATACTGATGAAGCAGTTACTCTTGAGATATGTAGGTTATAAGAGAATCGGGTGTCAATACCCAAACAGGAGACAGGCCATTCTATGACTATCTTGAAGGTTGTCTCCGTCACAAAACTGAAATGGTCATCTTCGAAGCAGCTCGTGCAATCACGGAGTTGAGCAACGTCACTACCAGGGAACTCACTCCTGCCATAACTGTGTTACAGCTTTTCTTAAGTTCTTCTAAGCCCGTGTTAAGGTTTGCGGCTATCCGGACATTGAATAAGGTGGTTGTTCTTCATAGTGAGACGATATTGTGCTAATTCCTAATTTTATAGTTTTTAGATTGGATGTTGGATGAGTTGGTGTGATTGTTGTTCTTTTTCCTTTGATATGCTGGTTCTCTTTTTCCCTCTTTCTTGTGTAGAAAATAATCTTACGCTGACCTGGATTTA